AAAAATCTGTCTCTCTATCTCTATCTAGCTATATATCTATCTATAGCTCCGCAGACACACTGACACTGCTGTTTATACACACACTGCAGGACACCGCTGTGTCTATGTACATAAAAAAGTATATATACACTTCCCCCCAACAGAGTGTATGTACACAGGGCTGGCTCTTACACACACGTGTACACACACACACACACACCCCCCCAGGGGTGTCGGTAATTGTACGCGCATGTATGCAGTGTGGGGTGTGTTTATATAGGCATCAGTGTCTGTTAGTGTGTGTATAAATGTATATACACATGGGTGCCTGTTTGTGTGTGTGTAAATACACGTGTCGGTTGCTCTGGGTGTGTCCATACACACACACACCCCCTCTATATATGTGTACGTTCTTGTGTGTGTGTGTGTATATATATATATACACGTGTGTACACACCTACACACACACACACAGAGAGGTGTGTCAGTAAGTGTGTGTGTGTGTGCGCACGCGCAGTGTGGTGTTTGTGTACATACATACATACACAGGGGTATCCATTGGTGTTTCTATATTTATGTATGTCCAGGGGGTCTTTGTGTGTGTGTGTGTGTGTGTGTGAACAGGGGTGTCTACGCATAGAGAATCTCTCTGTGTGTACACACTTCCCTGGGTGTTTTGATATAGATACATATACATACACATATATATGTGTATGTATATATATATCACACATATATATATCCACACACCCTCATTGCCCCCAGCCAGCCCTGCAGCCCTGCCCAGGACGGGTGACAGCCGGCACAGCCGGTGACAGTCACGGTACGGGTGACAGCACCGGGGCAGGGGGGGAGCCCCCAACGCCTCTGCTTTAACCTCTCCGAAAGGCCGGGCAGCTCTGACTCACCGTGACAAGAAATATTGCTGGAACGATCCGCGATGCTCTAGAACAAACAGTCCTGCCTTTGGCTGCAGCCGAGGAAAACGCCAACATCTGGTTATTGCTTCTCAAAGCATCAGATAACTCACTCCGTCTTTTAACTATTTACTTTCGTAAAAATGCCTTCAAATATACAGTAGCAACGGGTCTCAAAAAGCATCTCTGAGACGTCTCCCCAAGGCCAGTTCAAGGCTCATCACCTGGACGTCATTTTAAAACCCCAGGGAAGAAAACTTCCGCGTTGGGCACATCTTTACGTTCCTGGTTGTACCTCAGGAGGAGACCCCAGCAGCTCATTTTCTGTGAGCTGACGTGAGACGTGTAAGAACTGCCTTCAGGAAAGGGTTGTGAGCCCCGGGACCAGCACCCAGAGCAGGGGTACAGGCCCAGAAGGATGTGTCCCCTCCCGGCCCCCAGAGCTGCTGCTGGCCCGGGGTGGGGGGGTGACACGATGCAGGGCAGCGTCCCCGCCAGCTGCTCCGCAAACACAGACCACTCGGCAGCCAGTGCACATCGCCTTTTATTCAAAAGCTGTAAAAATAAGCTCTAAACCGCTTCCGAGTTTGGCTTCGGCAAACAGAGATGAATCAAACCAGACATTGGCAACAAGGGGGGGGTCAACGATCCTGCGAGTGACTGCAGCAACGTGGCCTGTCCCAGCGGTCCGGAGAGAAACAGGGCTCGGACCTCCAGGAAAGCCGGAGCATCCCCAGCACAGCCGAGGGGTTGGCCGTGCTGCTGGTGAGGAAGAGAAGCCGGCAAGGCGAGGAAGGATGAGCTCTGCCACCGCTTGTGCCCTTCCTGCGGCTTTTCAACTGAAGGCTCAGCTCTTGGTCACGGCAGAGTCCCCAAAAGCGTGCCGAGACAGGGTCGTTCCACGGCAGACAGCCCGCCAGGCAGAGGGACGCTGCAGATGGGGTTTAATTATGATTTTGTGGCTGGTAAGGGACGATCTAAGCGCTCGCTGGGGGCATGGCACAGGCTAC